ACATAACTTAACAAAATAACATGTAACGCCTAAAAGACTGAACACTGAAAAGTTTAACACAGATACTTGAACGTATTCTAGAAAAGTAGGATATTGAATAGTCGACTTACATACTTTCTTATCTGCACTGGCACTGAAGTCATGATACTATCTGGTAATATTGTCGGACCATGCCTATCTTCGCCAGCCATTCAGTTTAATTCACATTTTCAAAGTCATCAATACGGTGAGTAAAGCGTGAATACTTAGAGAGCTTTAACCTTATTTTGATTTAGCTTTGAAACTTGATCGCCATTAAGTCTGTGAAGTCCAAGACAAGATTGCGCTCCTCTCGATGTCAGTGGCGTGTCTGGGAAGACGTTTCTCTTTGTGATGAGCGAAGATTTTTCAACCAGGTAAAAGCGCCGATCGACACTTATCACGATGCTTTCTAATATTAGAACACTTGAATTATCTCCACACGAGATTGAGGAGCCGTGGAATCACGCCCCGAGCCAGTGAATTTCGCCCTCGTTTCACGTACAAGATGATTGTGCCGTGACAAGGAGGCCGGGTAGAGAGTTGGGGGAAATCGTTTGTGTGTTTTGTGTTTTGCTAATTAGAACGTGGAGATTGGCACATCTGAGGGATGAGAACAGAGTAAGTCATAATAAAAGAGGAAAGTGCTGAGTTGCGTAAATTTGAACCGCCAACCACCTCCAGCTGGTCAAGTTTGTACCAAGCCATTCTACACTGACCGTAAAAGTGAACTCCATAAAGCACAAAGTCATAAGCAGTAAGTATACGTTTTAGTAATACTAATCTAACATTGCTGTCTTTTTTAATTGACTGACGTTAGCTTTTAAACCGTTTTCCTGACTTGACATCGGTGGCTAAACACGTAAGCCTACTTTGTTTTATGATACATAGTCCTCCTTTGCGGGGTCAAAAAGCCCATGAAATAATAACTTTGCCCTCTGACTTGAAGCTAATATTTATTTGCCTAGCAATTTTCTCTGTCCCTCGGTCTCTCTGTCTCTCTGTCTCTCTATCTATATGTCTGTCTGTCTGTCTGTCTGTCTGTCTGTCTGTCTGTCTGTCTGTCTGTCTGTCTGTCTGTCTGTCTGTCTGTCTCTGTCTGTCTCTCTCTCTCTCTCTCTCTCTCTCACTCTCTCTCTGTTTGTGTTTTTGCGTGTCTCACTCAGTCTCTGTCTCTGTCTTCATATCTCTCTTTCTGTCTGTCTATCTGTTTGTCTGTTTGTCTGTCCGCCTGCCTATCTCTCTGTCCGCCTGTCCGTTTGTCTCCCCCCCCCTCTCTCTCTCTCTCTCTCTCTCTCTCTCTCTCTCTCTCTCTCTCTCAGTCTCTCTCTCGCTCCCCCCGTCTCTCAGTCTCTCTCTCGCTCCCTCCGTCTCTCTCGCTTTCCCGTCCCCCACACCCCCCTTCATCCTCTATGCGCGATTCTTGAAGCGTTATAGTGGTTCTCCGTCCACCTGAAAAACAACAGGCACATTCATGCACAGTTTACATGTAATAGCCCTTGACTCTGTGATTCAGATGATTTATTCACATTCTCGTTTAGTGACGTAATAGGATGTAAGCCAAAAGAAGTTGGCTTTTTTGTACTGGCCTGGCTATGTGAATCGTGGAGACCGGGACGTCTTTGTTTTGAAGGTTGTGAGGAATTTAACAAAAGTCTATGGATGTTGAGGAACAGAATAGATTGGTCTGTAGCAACTTTCATCTTTAGCGCCTTGCATTAAAAGCATGTTTTACAAAAGAACAAAATTTCGAGTGCAGACCGGTTCCAGTCTCACCGAAATCAACCTTCGACATTTGAGCCCAGTGTCAACTAAAAATATAATTTTCAAAAACAAAAACGGATTTTGAAAGCACGATTCTTAAGTAATCGGTTAAAACCAAGTCGAAAGTGTCGTACACAAAATAATCCACATGTCACCCATTGCCGGACTTCTCGCTTTCATCACTCACAAACGGCCTAGAAAGCTGTCACAGACAAAGATGAGCCTAGCCATTTCATGTTAGACCTCGGTTGCTCATCTGCAAACAACAACCTCTAAAGGTTACACGGAACTAATGAACTGTACTATATTCTCTGAATAGACAAGAGGACCCTGAACATCAACCTCTCATTAACAAAACTGACAGTAAACTGATTTGATTATATCCCTTTCATGTGAGAATTATAAGATTTATTCTCTCAACAACAAAAAACACATTTAAGTTGGCAAACAAAAAAGACCCCAAAAACAAATCACAAGTAATACAAACCAAACAATGCATGCTCTTGCTCTCAGCATTCTGTCTGTCTCACCTATTCCGACCTTTTTTCAGTAGGGTAAAGCAGCTGAAAATTGGGATTTGAGAGTAGTTTGCTGGCTGTTGTGTAACAATAAATAGCATGCAACTGATTATTTTGGGTAGGTCCACATTATAATCTCTATTAACATATTATTTCGCGCATGATAACGTTTGCGGAGCAAAAACCTGTTATATACATCACCAAAATAGACTCTGACCTTCCCATTAATATATTCGAGGATATATTCAAAAGGGAACAGACTACCAACATGTATGATTTAGGTGCCTCAAATGTCACCACAGGCTAAAGACACAAAATGCACTATAGTGTTAGATCTACAGTTCAGATTGCACAAAGCATACCGAATCAAAGCACCAGATATTTTCCAAAAGAACATTTTACTTAGGCTTGTTCTCCAGGTACAGAATTCTACAAGAAAAGTGAATTTAACTACAATCATTCTATGCCCCCCCCCCCCCCCCCCCGATTTTGCCTCAGGAAAGTTGTTCCACATTAAAAAATCTACTTTCCTTCAAAGTTTTGCGTATCCTATCAGTTGCATGATCCCTATAGCCTCTGTATAATATTCTTGGCATCCGAGTTGCGAGGACGATCTTCGGCACGAACTCGGTATCGTAAAAATGTAAAACTTTTTAAAGGATGAGGAACGCAACCGTGGTTGTCGAAACACTCGTCTCTGGAGAACTTCCCAAGTCGTATAAACTGTGATGCAATTCATGGGAAATTAATGGACGTGTGCTTCCAAATCATAAATCTCCCTCTGTATTTGTAGGACTTGCACAAATCGCGATTTCGATAGTGGTTTCGTGACTCCAATAATGGAGGGAAGATCTGATGGTATTGGCGGCTTCATTTGTATCAGTATCAGTTTCGGCCTGGATGCTTTTGCGTGTGATTATGTGCCAGTGCACAAGTGTGTGTGCGTGTGTGTGTGTGTGTGTGTGTGTGTGTGCACGCGTACGTGTGTGAGTGAGCGCGCTTTGATGCCCTTGAAAGCAATACTTGAATACTTGAATGTAGAATTGGGGTCTTAGGAAGACAGGGTGCTCCATGCTTCCTCGCCCCTCTTCATAAGGGTCCATTTCGTGGTGGGCAGGCTGATTGTCTCCAATATCGGCTCGTTGTTGTTGCGTCTGATGGGGTCACCCAGGCTGCAACTCCTCCTGCCTTCACCAGGCTGTTCTCCTTTTTCATTCACAATCTCCTTCGTGAAGGAGTCCTCTTCACGGCTGCTGACAAGGTGATCTCGGACAAGGGCTATTACAGTTATTTTGAAAGTATTGTTACCCGAGAATGTACGCGCGCGCTGTGTGTGTGTGTGTGTGTGTGTGTGTGTGTGTGTGTGTGTGTGTGTGTGTGTGTGTGTGAATTTGTGTGTATATGTGTAGGTTGTGTCTGTGTATCTGTTTTTCTCTGTTTCGAGATATAGAAAACTAGCTGGGACCACATTCGATGAAAGGAATGATCGGTGCATTAACATCAACTGAAAGTCATTGGCTTACTATATTAATTTCAATCTTCTGGAATGGAGCGATAAATCATGAGAGACGCAAAAAAATTAGAAGGTCTAGATCTAGATCTATGCTCTCAAAACAAAATGAACCTCGCGAAATATCACTTCTGGTACTTCCGCTGTGGAGGACAGCTGCGCAGATTTGTTTCGTCTCTCAGTGGAATAATCACAAAGGCCAACGAAGGACTTGAACTTTTTGTCAATATATTTTTCTAAATTCAGGAAATGAATCAATAAAAAAATCGGGCTCCGTCATGGGGACCTATCTATCTTTTTACAGGTACTTGCCAGCTTTCAACTCTTTGGCTGTAGTAGTTTTATAGGAAAAGTGACACATGTGTTTCCAAGTTGCCAAATTATATATATAATAGATACATGCAGAGAAACAAGGACAGGGGCCCAGATACCTTACTTTAATCAGATACACGTTCAGAAAGACAGTTACGGAGCTACAACTTGCAGACAGACGTCAGACAGACATTCGAGACTGTTTCTTACAGCAACCATCCCATTCTTCAATCTTCACGGAAAACGCAATTTGCTGACCTCTTTCGCCCCAAGGGCCGAGTCTTAGCCAGCATAAGGTTTGTTTTAGACGAGGTTGATTTAAAGAACGAAAAGAAAAAGAAAGGCGTGGCATGATGATGGGAAATGGAGGCTCTTAGAGGTGTGATGACTTTGACGGTTCATTACCTGTAACGGGATTTCTGCGCTCACGTCAGTTCAGAAAATCTCTTTTCATGCAGAAGTCAGTGTATTGCGTGCCTTATCTTCAGTGCTATTTCCTTCTTAAATTTTTACATCTTCTTTTTTCCTTGTTTTTCTTTTTGTTTCATCATATTAGAGATGGTAGCTCTTGTTCCTTCTTATCTTTTTGTTCGTGTATATCAATTTTTCTCCTGAACCAACATATTTTTTCTGTTGGTCTTTACAGTCCCTCC